AAATAAAATCTCTTTTCCTCCAGACAGAGTGCCCCCCTTGTCCTTTGCGATGACCTGAGGGTGAAAAACTATACAGAGTTCACTATATGAACCACTGATGAATTTATCTCTTGAAGAGATTTAAAGGGGGGATATGATCAACTTGTATAAATACAATTCCTTTAAATTTTTCCCTCATAGCTGAGCTCTTCCATGCCTGTCATCAGTTTGGTTGCCTTTCTCTGCATTTTCTCCAGTTCCCCAATGTTCTTTTTGTGAATTGGTGCCCATAACTGAACTGCATATTTCAGATGAGGTCTTACTAATGATTTGTACAGGGGTAATATGATATCTCTCTCTCTGGAGTCTATACCTCTTTTAATACAAGAGAGGATTTTGCTTGCTTTAGAAACTGCAGCTTGGCATTGCATGCCATTATTAAGCTTGTGATCTATCAGAACCTATCTCCCAGATCCTTCTCCACCATTGATTCCCCCAGTTGTACCCCCCCCCCCCCCCCCCCCCCCCCCCTAGTATGTATGATGCATGCATATTCTTAGCCCCCAAGTGCATAACTTTACATTTATCAACATTAAACTTAATTTGCCACATAGTTGCCCAATTACACAGTGCATTGAGGTTGGCTTGTAAGTTGGAGACATCCTGTAAGGATGTTATTCCATTGCACAGCTTGGTGTTATCTGCAAAGACTGAAATTGGATTTATAATCCCAGACCCTATATAGTTTATAAATATATTAAAAAGGGTCCCAACACTGAACCTTGGGGTACACCACTGACAATGCTAGACCATTCAGAGTATGTATCATTAACCACTACTCTCTGAAATTGGTCTTTTAGCCAGTTTTCTACCCATTTACATACGGATTTTTCCAAGCCTGCAGTCTTTACCTTACACATTAGCCATGTGTGGGTAACTGTGTCAAACACCTTTGCAAAATGCAAGTATACCACGTCCACCACCACCAACCCTCAGTCCAAAGTTTTGCTCACCTCCTCATAAAAAGAAATCAGATTTCTTTGACAACTTCTGTCTTTCATGAATCCATGCTGCCTGTTGCTTAAATTATTTTTTTCCAGCAAGAACTCATCTATGTGGTCTTTTATTAACCACTCCAGTATCTTCCCAACTATAGAAGTTAAACAGGTCTATAATTACTTAATAAAAATTTTGATCCCTTTTTATATATAGGCAACACATTGACCTTACGCCAATCCAGTGGTACTATGCCAGTCCTTAAAAATTAAAAACGATGGCTTTGAAATGACAGCTTAAATTCTTTAAGGACCCATGGCTGTATGCCATCTGGTCCAGGTGCTTTATTCGCCTAGATTCTGTGCACGAGCTGCACGTGCGATCTTCCTGCGTCACCATTTGCAGCCATGGCTGTCAATCACCAGGTCACGGCCAGTGATTTCCAAGGATCTCCAATTGGGAGAACTGTTTTGTTTACTAACAATTCTCCCTGTTAGCTTGGGCACACTGCTTTGGATGGCTGTGCAAAGCACAGGCATCCAAAGCAGTGCAATTACAGTGAAGCACACTGATACCGCCCCCTAGTAAAATACTCCCAGCACACAGTTAACCCTTTGATTGCCCCTCATGGTAACCCTTTCCTGCCCAGTGCCATTAGTGTGTGTTTTTTTTTTTTTTTTTTTTTTAATTTTAGCACTGATCACTGTATTGGTGTCACTGGGGATGTCAGTGACACCAAGTCAGTTACACCCCCCCCCCCCAGTGTCAGAATGTCCGCCACAGTCCTGCTATAAGTTGCTGATCGCCGCTATTACTAGCAAAATTGAAAAAAAAAAAATCCCAGTATATATACCGCCATTTGTAAACACTAACTTTCACGTAAACCAATTTACACGTATTGGGTTTTTTTTTTCTTAGCAAAGACATGTAGCAGAATACATTTTGGTGTAAATTTGACGAAGTTTACATTACTTTTTTTTTACTGGACATGTTTAATAGCAAAAAGTCAAAAATATTGTTTCTCAAAATGGTCAGCCTTTTTAATTTTTTTAGAGCGCAAAAAAAAAATAAAATAAATAAATGCACAGGCAATCAAATATCACTGAAAGAAAGCTCAATTTGTTGGGAAAAAAAGGGCGTAAATTTCATTTGGATGTTGTGTTGCATGACCGCACACATTGTCAGTTAAAGTAACGCAGCGCTGTAACGCAAAAAATGGCCTGATCAAGAAGGGGGGTGGGGGGTGGGTAAATCCTCAGGAGGGCAAGTGGTTAATAAATTTGCCTTCTCAGTCCCCAATCACCCACTCTAGATTTTTTGTAAAGGGCCTACATGCTCAGACCTGATCTTTTTACAATTAACATATCTGAAAAAATTTTGGTTTGTTCAGCTATCGTTTGCAATCTGTTGTACAATTTTTTTATAAAGCTCTTTTCTAAGGCTGGCCATACATTATACAATTATCTGCAGATTTTTGGTTTAGATTTACCAAAAAACCATATAATAGGAGGACAAACCTAAACAACACTTTCAGTTGTATCCAATTAGGCAGGCCCTTGCACTACATAGTTGAAGGTAAATCTAAAGGAAATTGGGCAGAAAATCTGCAGATAATTGTATAATGTATGGCCAGCCTTATTATAGCTTTTTTTCCCTCTTTTTTTAAACTTTGGCCATAAGCCACGAAGGTTTCATTTTTAGCCTTTTAACCACTTTCCCTCCAGAGTATTTACCCCCCTTAGTGACCAGGGTATTTTTTTGTTTTATGGCGCGGTGTTACTTTAACTGACAATTGCGGTCATGCAACGCTGCACTCAAATTAAATTTACAATCTTTTTTCCCCACGAATAGAGCTTTCTTTCGGTGGTATTTGATCACCTGTGCGTTTATTTGCCCAAAAAAAAAAAAAAAAACAAAAAAAAAAAAACAAAACTATTTTTTGAGAACAAGCAATATTTTTGACTTTGCTATTAAACATGTCCAGAAAAAAAAAAAAAAAAAAAAATCTAATTTAGTCATAAATTGAGGCCAAAATGTATGTCTTTGCTAAACAAAATCCCAATACGTGTAAAATAATTGGTTTATGTGAAAGTTATAGCATTTACAAATAGTGGTATATATATACACACTGGGATTTTTTTTTTTTTTTTTTTTAATTCTTACTAGTAATGGCGGCAAATCAGCAACTTATAGTGGGACTGCGGCATGCATTCTGACACTGGGGGGAACTGACTTAGTGTCACCGACATCCCCAGTAACACCAATACAGTGATCAGTGCTAATTAAAAACACTGACACTGTACTGACACTGGGCAGGAAGGGGTTATAATGTAGGGGCGATCAAAGGGTTAACTGTGTGATTCACTGTAAGCACACTGCTTTGCATGGCTCTGCTATGCAAGGCCATGCATAGCAGTGTGCACGAGCTGACAGGGGAGAGAACTGTATTGTTTACTTAGTTATCTCCCTCTGTTGGTAATGCTTCTTGGGTGCCAGAGTGTAATCACTAGCCGGGACCTGGTGATTGACAGTTGAGGCCGCAAAAAGCGGCAGGGGAAGGGCGCCCCCAACCCAGAAATGCAAAATCACACACAATTCTGTGCACCCGTGCCACCCTGTAGCAGTATTACTGCTATAGGGTGGACAGGAAGCGTTTACACTTGTTGCCCATTGGAATATATTTCGCAGTGTGTTCACATACAGTCTTTTTGAAGAACTACCATTTCTGTGTTGTGTTCATCGATGCCAATATTCCCTCCCAATCTAAGTCTTCGAGAGCAGCTCTCAGCCGTGGAAAATTAGCTCTCTTAAAGTTGAGTGTTATTTGTCCCACGTGTACTTGTTTACAACCAACAATAAATGAAATCATGGTGTGGTCACTGATACCCAGATGTTCTTTTATATGGACATTAGTAATAAGTTCTGCATGGTTTGAGATTACCAGGTCCAGCAGAGCACCTAGTTGGGGCCTCTATAAATTGTACCATAAAATTGTCCGGTAGTAGATTTATACATTTTTGCCCTTTAACTTCAACCTGCAGTGCCATACTCCAGTCAATTTCCGGGTAGTTAAAAATCCCCCATTATCACTGTCCCAGCCCATTCGACCTGTGCAAGAAGCAGTCTCCACCTGCTCATTAACACTGGGTGGTCTATAACAAAACTCTGATGATTACCTTTGTAGTACGCACCCACATGTGCAGTTCCACCCATAATGCTTCAGCCTCATCACACTCTCCAACAAGGTCCTCTGGCTCTGTGAGAAGTGATCTTAGAAAGTGTGAAAGACACCACCTTTCCTTTTTACCCTGTCTCTCCGAAAGAGAACATAGCCAGGAATATTAATAGCCCAGTCATGTGGAGTTTGATGTTAAGTATAGACATAACATGTTGGGTGGAGCTTGAGTACTATGACGTTAGCACACTGACAGGAGGCCAATCAACAATGTAGGAAAAGGTCACATTAAAACAAAGACGTTATTTTAAAATAACAGCTCTTTCTCTGTTTGTACCTTTTTAAAAAAGGGACCTTCTTTTTCATGAGCATTATGAATTTTTGTGTTTGACCATTTTATAAGTGGTTAATCAAATCTGGTGAGTGCATATTATTGGTGTGCGTTCTGAAGTGTGTGAAGAACAGGCACTTTACCACATTGAAGATTTGCCATCACATTTCACACCTACTGGAAATTCTGTTTAAAAACACTGCATGGATTGATAATTTTAACATACAATTGCATTGATTTTGCAAAATTCATTTTTCTTTTCCACCACATAGTTTGTTGGATGGACTATTGATGTATTGATTTGATGCACCTTTATTGATTTTCACAGCATTTTCTGTAATTATTTTTATATAAATTTATGGATGTATCGTTTTCGTGCGGTCTTTTTTATCTGTGGAGATTTATTATGGAACGAATTTGGTTTTTTTCCCCCATATATTTAATTTTGAGTAGCACTGTATGTTGCATATAGCTGTAGCAACCATAATAGTAAAACACAGCAAAACGGATAGGACTTACAATTAGTGGCACTTTTGTAGAGTCTTGATAAAGATGCCTGTACCCAAGATACAATACAAGGGCAGCCATAGAGTAAAGGAAAGCCAATACAGCAATGGTAACATAAAACTCTGCTGGAGAAGAATAATCCCCGGAGAGGTAGAACGGTTTCCATATCTCCTTACAGATCTGATCAAATCCTTTAAATAAAACAGTATGCAGCCTGAAGACAAACAGAAAAAAAAATGTAAGAATTTGTATTCTTAATAAAAACCTTCAGGGGGATTATTTAAGCTTCCTGCTCCATTATACACAGTCAGAAGTGGTGTGCACCACATTAATGGAGCAGACAGACCTGTTTCAAGTCTATTTGGGCCACCACCAGTTTCTATTTCATAATGAATAGAAACGAGTGCAGGTCTGTAACCGAGACTGAATACAGCAGTTAATCAGATATTCTGGTGCAACCTTGTGATATGGTATGTGGCAGAGACTATACTGGATTAACACTCCCCTTGCATATTTTTACCTTATGAGCCAGGCCAGTAACATTTTCAGTCCCAAGGTGACATATCACCATTTTATATCTATTGGTGGAGTAGCATTGTCACCCTTGGCAGTCCAAAGAAATTGCTGATAAGAGTAAATACAAGAAACTTGTTTACATATTTAAAATCAAACCCAAAACATTTTCTATTTTTTTTGTTCCAGTGAGGAAGTAGTAGACCTCCTTCTGTGTTTCTACTGCTATTTGGGTCTCCATTTTAGAGATTTACCTTTGTTTTCTGTCTGACAAAAGTTTCACTAAGAAGTAAAGGGAACGCTGCGAGTTTCACTCACTTCCTATCTGGTAAAACCTTGTCAGCAAGACAGGCAGTGAGGGTAAATCTCTAACCCTTTTTCTGCCAGGCCCTCTGCTCCACTTTATAAACTCAGTTGGCCGGACTATTTTTGCAATTTTTCCATTGCTTTTTTAAATTTTTCCTTAACAGCTTTCAGAGTTTGTAAAAAACCCCTCCAAACCATATATTTTCTGATTGCACAGGACCAGTAGAATAAAAAGAAGGATCCTTAAGGCTCCACGATATGGATACTTAAGGCTCCATGATATTTGTGCAAATGTTTATCAAAAAAATTTTTTGCTAAAAATACACTCCGCAAGTCGATTGCTTGGGTCTCCTGGTGGAGCCACGGAAGGCGGTACAACCACTTGAAGTTCAATGACGTAGCAGATATATGACTGTGCGGCAAGTGGTTGAAAGCTGCAGCCGTAAAGCTTTGCTGCACGCCCGCAGCACAGTTGACCTGACTTGTAGCGATTCAGCTTTCTCAATGCTATACATTCAAGTCTTAGCAAGCACCTCATCTGTTGTAGCACATTTGTTGACAAAAATGGGGTTAAAATAGGTGGTGAGGAGGCAGCGACTTGCTTCCTCACCCAGTCATTAGCTCCTAGAGCGTGATCTGAACGTGGGCTTCAGCGGCAAAAGACATTTTGACGCATTTCTTTTTCAGGTAGGGCTCTGGAGAGAGACATCAGGGTGTGTGTGTGTATATATATATATATATATATATATATATATATATATATATATATATATATATATATATATATATATATATATATATATATAATATAAATATAAAAAAAGGGGGGGGGGGGGGACCTTAATGCCTTTTTTTTTTTTTTTTTTTCTTTAGACAGAACGGAACTGAAGACAGTCCCTTTCTCTGTAACCTGAGCTGCACTGTAATGAATGAGAGTCTGTACAGAGACAGTTTACTATGTGCTAGTGATGAACGAACAGAGTGATCACTACTGACCTTGTTCATTCAGGAAAGAAACATAGCTCTGATCAGTGGCTTGTTAGCCGCTAATCGGAAATATTGTTTTGTTCAGCAGTCTGATGAACATCTCTGCTATAAGTTCATGGTCACTGAAGTGACCATGAACTTACAGCAGAAAAGGAATGTAGATCTGTACAGCGTACAGACCTGGCCTGCTAGAAGCAGTATTGTAGGTCCGTACAGTCCTGGCAGCAAAAGGGTTAATGGAGTCCCGAATAGCACTAAAAGCCTGACACTAGTTCTATCCAAAATAAAACACATAGCATTAGTTACCATTAATGATATTAATGTCATGCTAGTTTTCTGACTTCAATGCTTTGAGTCACTGACCCAAAATAACTATACAGATTAGGGAGTCCTGACTATTTGCTGCATACTTATTACAGGTCAGCAAATCAAAGCACTGAAACTATCATTTTCAGAAGATGGTTAACAATGGCAGCCATGTCTCTCTCATGGAGTTGTCACGAGGGACAACTGAAGAAAATAGATGAAAATAACCCATTTAGAATTTACAAAAGACTTGTCAGAAAACACAGACTGGGTGGTTAAACTTACCTAAATGGGTACCCAAACTGAGCCGTCATCGTTTGGTTATCCGTTAATGACTTATTTGTACATGTCACAAATAGGCTTGTTTCTCCCTTGTAACCCCCACATGTTGCAAAAGAGAAGATTGAGAAAAACTAGAGGGGACAAAAATATATAATAAAGTCAGCAGTTCAATTAATGAATCAAGTTTTTTTTTTTTTTTTTTTTAAGTACGCCAAAGCTTAGAGAAACGCTATACTGGTTTACAATTCTAATCAACTAAGTATACCTAAATTTAGCTTCAGAAGCTCAAAGGAATATTACAAAGAGGCTGAAAACTTTTTTTTTTCTCAAAAAAAGTGTGCGTTTCCCATGTCTACAACAACCCCCCCCCCCCCCCCCCCCCCCCAGCTAAATTGACTAAACACCCTTCAACAAAATCCGGCTGCATATTTATTCCAGTGCAAGCTACACTTAGTGGTTCAAGTCAAAATATATGACATCTATGCACGTAAAAGACAAAAAATTATTTCTGAATTTTCCAGTTTTAATGTAACCTATAAACTGTACAACTCAGTTGAACACCAAACTGAAATCTTTTTTAGGTGGAGGGAATTCAAAATAAAAAACTAAAATAACACGGTTGCAAGGGTGTGCACACTGCAATAGGAAGAAGGGTCAGCCGCACACCGGAGGATAGATGAATATAGTGTTTATTAATTGATCCATAGGACATACAAAACACCAGGACATACAAAACACCAGAACACAGGACCTGATAAAGCGCTTCCCACTATCTCATGCACACCCTTAAAACTAACACTTTGTTGAAGCCCCTTTTGATTTTATTACAGCATTCAAGTCTTTTTGGGTATGAGTCTATCAGCATGGCACATCTTGACTTGGCAATATTTGCCCACTCTTCCTTGCAAAAACACTCCAAATCTGTCAGATTGCGAGGGCATCTCCTGTGCACTGCCCTATTCAGATCACCCCACAGATTTTCCATCGGATTCAGATCTGGGCTCTGGCTGGGCCATTCCGAAACTTTAATCTTCTGGTGGGGCCATTCCGAAACTTTAATCTTCTGGTGAATCATTCCTTTGTTGATTTGGATGTATGCTTTGGGTCATTGTCATGATGAAAGATGAAGTTCCTCTTCATATTCAGCTTTCTAGCAGACGCCTGAAGGTTTTGTGCCAATATTGACTGGTATTTGGAACGGTTCATAAATTCCCTCTACCTTGACCAAGGCCCCAGTTCCAGCTGAAGAAAAACAGCCCCAAAGCATGATGCTGCTGCCACCACGCTTCAATGTGGGTATGGTGTTCTTTTGATGATGTGCAGTGTTGTTTTTGTGCCAAACATATCTTTTGGAATGAGGCCAAAAAGTTCAACCTTGGTTTCATCAGACCAGAACACATTTTCCCACATGCTTTTGGGAGACTTCAGATGTGTTTTTAGCAAACTTTAGCCAGGCTTGGATGTTTTCCTTCGTAAGAAAAGGCTTCAGTCTTGCCACTCTACCCCATAGCCCAGACATATGAAGAATGCGGGACATTGTTGTCACATATACCACACAACTAGTACTTGCCAGATATTCCTGCAGCTCCTTTAATGTTGCTATAGGCCCTTGGCAGCTTCCCAGACCAGTTTTCTTGTCTTTTCTTCAATTTTGGAGGGACGTCCAATTCTTGTCACTGTTGCACCATATTTTCGCCACTTGACTGTCTTAACTGTGTTCCAAGGTATATCTAATGCATTGGAAATGCTTTTGTACCCTTCTGACTGATACCTTTTAACAATGAGATCCCTCTGATGCTTTGGAAGCTCTCTGCAGACCATGGCTTTTGCTGTAGGATGCGACTAAGAAAACGCCAGGAAAGACCTACTAGAACAGCTGAACTTTATTTGGGGTTAATCAAAGGCACTTTAAATGATGACTTGTATGTACTGACTCCCATTTAACAGAATTTTGAATGTGATTCCTTAATTCCAAACACTGCTACATCCCCAGTTATAAGAGGGTGTGCACACTTCTGCAACCACATTATTTTTGTTTTTTATGTTATAGATTGCTCTAAAAATGTTATTTTGACTTGACAAAAAGGTTGACATCAAGCACTCCGAAAACAACTTTTTCTTCAAGAGCTTTTCTTCAGAAACCAGGCTGTGAGTGTTACCCTGGCTATTTCTGGGTAATGTAGCAAGCCCTGTATCAGAAAGTCCTGTGAGCGGGTGATGCCAATATGGTTTGCTCACCAGCTGTAGCAGGGTTAAAAACCATGCCTTCGGGGCCAAAAAAGAACTATAAGGATGAATATCTTTTCAATATTCCTTAATAGGGAAGGTATAACAGATGAAATCTATATGAATGCGCCAGACCGTCCATTCCCAGGGAACCGCAGTCTCTCTTTAGATAGCAGAGGAACCTGCGCATTCTCTCAAGTTGCAAAAGATTTACTTTTGGTTGTCCCCGCTCTCTGGTGAACAGAAAAGATTTACGGGTTCAAAGAGCAGTTCCTGAACCTGGTGTCTGCTCAGAAAATAGACAACTGAATTAAGTGTGCACTTGAGGTGGATCGCTGACAAGGAAAGTAACTGTCACCTTACCCAAATCAGAATTTCTGTTGCTAAAAACTGAAGGGCTTCGCTCCTCGTGCCTCCCTGCTTGTTAAAGTATGCCACTGCCATGGCATTGTCCTAGGGGACTTGCACACGGCAACCCTGAAGATCTTTAACCCCTTCCCCGCCGATGCCTTAAGATTTTCAGACGCCGGGAGACTAGGCGGGTGGGGTGTGGTTTAGGGATCATGTGACCACCGTGACGCGTCGTCACATGATCGGGAAAGGTCCCGATCGAAAGAGCGGACCGGGACCTTTCTGCGTGAGTACCGCAAATGTGTGCTGGGAGCGCGCTCTCAGCGCGTTTTTTGTTACATGAACGCAAATGTGCGGGCGCTCAGCGTGTAGGCCCAGACGCCAGGATGTGCGTGAAGGGGTTAAAGAACACTAATAAAGGTCATCGCAATAGCCCTTAATTCTCTCCAGTTCAAGGACCTTGAAGCATCTGTCTTGGACCAGCTTCCCTGTGCCATCCTTCCTTTAAAGTGAGCTCCCCAGCTCCAGGAACTTGTATCTGAAGTTAACTTCGTCTCGTTTTGGCAGTAGACCTTTAACCACTTCCAGACCGGACACTTTTACCCCCTTCCTGACCAGGGCAATTTTCAGCTTTCAGCGCTATCACACTTTTGAATGACAATTGCGCAGTCATGCAACACTGTACCCAAATACATTTTTTACCCTTTTTTTGCGACAGATAAAGCTTTATTTTGGTGGTATTTATTCACTGCTGGGATTTTTATTTTTTTTGCTATGTAAATAAAAAAGTCCAAAAATTTTGAACAAAAGTGTTTTTTTTTAATAAAATTTTGCAAATAAATAATATTTCATCATAAATCTTTGCCAAAATGTATTTCGTTATCTTTTTAGTAAAAAAAACACAAAAACAAATTAGTTTATAACCAAAAATTATAATTTTTAAACATTTTTTTTTTACATTTTTATTTTATTTTTTTATATTATTATTTTTTATTTATTTTTTTTTTTTTTGATTACATACTGTCACCCTAGCAGTACAGTGTCACCATGGTGACACTGTACTACTTGTGGGGGGTGATGAAGATTTTTTTTTTTTTTTACAATGATTGCTTTTACACCCATATAGGATGTAAAATCAATCATTTCTCTTTCTCTCTGTGTGCATTCCTGCACTCATTGAGAAATACAGAGTGAGCTGTGATTGGTCACACCTTGTCACATGGTACAAGGCTGTTGTGAATAGCCTTGTACCATGTGACCTGTGTGATCATTCACAGATTTCACACGTAGTAAGCAATGATGTCACAAGTGACATCTTGCTTACTACTTTGCATGTGATCACTGATTGGCCAATCAGTGATCACATGATCGGGACCTTGTATAGAGGTCCCGTCCGACGATCGGTGTTTCACTGTGTCCGGAGGACACAGCGGGCACCGGAGCGCGGTGCTGCGCGCTCCCAGGGAGCGCGCACAAGCAGGGTGCGGGGAGGCCGTTCATAAACGGCCACCCGACCCTGTACTGCCACCGTCCGGCCCGTTTATATGCAACGGCCGGTCGGGAAGTGGTTAATGGTCCTTCCAAAAACAATTTGGATTCCCACAAAGGAAAAAAAGTCTTTGGTGGCAGAGGAATCAGAAGACTCCACTTGGTGATCTCAAGCTTTAAAAAGAAAAAAAACTGAAGTGGGCAGAAATGCTATCTCACCCACTGACTGGCTGGCATAGTTCTCAAAGCTGACATCTTCCTGATGGACAGGGGCTGATAGGACTGAAATTTCACCACTTGTCTTCCAGCATAAAAAGATTAGCTATTCCATCAAACTGATCCAACAGCCTAGAAAACAGCACTTCCTGTGCAGGATCTACATTTAATTTTTGAAGATTCACAATCCACCCTGGCAACCAAGTGGCTGCAAGCTCAAACTAATTTGAGCTTGCAATTTCTCCTCTGAAGCTGCAAAGAAGAGATTGTGGAGATAAGGAATCACCGCACCCACCTCAAACTGAAGAGAGGCCAGTGCCTTTGCCATCATTCTTGTAAACACACGTGGAGCAGATTACAGGCCAAAGGGTAGGGCCCTGAACTGCAAATGAAGAATCTGACCCTCCATCCTCAGCTCTAGCCTGAGAAACTTCTGAGATAAAGAAATAGGAATATGCAGATTCTCCTATCAATGCAATGTAACACCCCTGGATCTGGAGCTGTCATTGTAACCAAAAAAACATATAAGAACAAAAAAAGCAACCCCAACACTTGGGTAAAGTCTAAGTGCAGGGTAAATAGTGATTACTTTAATGACAAGTGTGGCTTTAAATTTATAAAATATTAATTTTATTGAATACATCAAAAAACATAAAAACCAGTACAAAATGTACTCAGTTTTACTATTGCTGCCCAAAACCCAGTGCCTTTATTTGGGACAATGAAAACCATATCTTAAAGTGCATGATAAACTAAACAATGTACAAAAAGACATCCGGATGTCATAACGAATGTAGCGCAGCTTTCTGGCACAGAACTAAAGTCTGGATAAATTCATTAGGTCAAAAAT